AAATATGCTCCTAATTCCATTTATACCTGGACAGGCCCCTGAGGCTGGAATACATATACATCATCTGGGTTAGCTCCCTCACTCTTTTTGCCTGAGAACCAGAAGTTCTCTTGGAGTTTTTTTGGTCCTCCAGCTGTTGTTGAATTACAAATCCTATCAGCTCCTACCAGAATAATCAGACATAATAGTAATTATAGGCTCTCCCACATTAGAGACATTCAGGGTGAAACTGGACAGTCATCTGAGCAGGGTGGTGTGATGGCATTCTTCGTCCCTTCTGTTCCTACTATTCTATGAATCTTGAATGCCCTAACTATGTACAGGACAGGTTCCCACCCATGAGCTAAAGAAATGAGAGCAAACCAAATATTTTGTTGTAATTAGTTTTTATGCCTTTCCCTTGCCCAGGAGGTGGAAAGAAATCCTTAGTTACCCAAACTGGTACCCTCCAGGATCATTGAACTATGACTGCCAGGCTGGGAATGAGAGGGTTTTTAGTCCCTCACAGCAAGGAGGTACCAAAAAGGGAAGGTTGGGTGCCAAGTCTCTAAAAATCACTTATCTCTACCCCATACTTGTGTCCAGCAGATCTAGCTTTTCTCATTCAACTATCAGACCCTTGAGTTCTTCTTCTCTGCAAGGAGATTTATCTGGAGGAAAGCAGTGTATTAAGTATCTTCATTGGAACGGCACCTTCCAACTTAAATATGATGCATTTTAAGTGAAGGGAGCAATGCAATCCCATTCTCATTATGAAACAAGAGACAAGTGTGGCATACTGTAAGAGTACCAAGTTGCTGGACATAGTTTTCTTTTTGCCTGGGACATACAGGTTAGCTATTCAATGTGTGTGAGATATGTCAAGGCACTGGAAGGGATAACATCCACCAAGATTAATTTACATGTGGATTGGCCACATAACTACTGCAAAGCAAACATTGTGCACTTTCAGTCCAGAGACTTCTTTTCTAGAAAAATTCCCAACTTTATCCAACAAATCATGCTCTCCTTTGGTATCTAACTAAGGGATGGAAAGATTAAGACCATCACTTGGTGGCAGAATAGATGCTTTGAATTTGGAAGCTCATTCCCAGGCATTTCCAGTTTGTTTTTAGAAAAGTTGGATGGTGAGAAATACATCTTCCTGAGACATGGAAGGCTGCTGTCAGTCAAAGTAGATGGATAAATAGTACAAGCTATTTATCCATCAGCTCCCTAAATTCCCTTGGTGCTTCTAGTGAGTTTCAATACTTTGCTTAGAACGGAAAGGTTCACCAACTGGAGTTTTATAAATATTTTTAAAAGTGAATTCACACAAATTTTACAGTTTACATGAGGTAGACACCTGCATGCCTCCCTTTTTTGTAAAACAACATGTGCTGAGATTTGTAGGCCAACATGAGTTTGGAAGACTTCTAAAATCAAATTCTGAATTTGTTTTGTTTTCAGTCTGCATACATGTGGAACCATTGTTGCATGCAGAAGTCTTTCATAAATTTGTTGCAGAAAATCACCCCCAGTGGGATGATGATGGTTTATATAGAAAACATAAATGCCTCCTTAATTGTGAAAGTATTGTAGTTAGTGCCAGGAAATCTAGTCCTAAATGAATTCCTCACCCTTCATCCAAAGCTCTCTAATACTCAGCTGTCCTGACAATGACCTTTTAGTAAGCCAGTCTGTTCAACAGAGCAGACTAGGTATCCATACTTAAAATGCCTCTATCTCAGCCTTGGATTTTCCTTGCCTTTCCAGTACCTAAGAGCTCCCAAACTTTCAATGCTGCTTTTGCAAGGAATGGCACCAAGCTGAACAAGCCAGAGTGTCTTGACAAGTGCAGTCTCACCAATGGGTCCTGAGCACTGTGCTCATTATTATATATGGGGACCCATCTACTGTTGTAATGTGCAGTTTCTTGCAAGTGAATAGAAGGTACTTAATGAACCTGACAATGACTATGGTTCTTCTGGCTTCAAAATAAAAGGTAGTATGAGGAAAGGAATGGATGCAGTAACTTCTGAATGAAAAAGTTATTGTTATCTGCACATACCCCATGTTTCTGGTGGAGCTTCTTTCTACCACAATGTCCCATGACCAGTTTTGCCTTCAACAGATGCATGGCAGGAAGAGGTTTCATCCATTGTAATACTGAAATGAAGAAAGACACATGGCAAGCCTCTATGTTCCATGCAGCTAACAAAGGTACATATGCATTCACTAAGTTCACAGATTTAATTTTTGCACATTGCACGGCACCCAGTTCTTAGCAAGGATGCTATTTATGGGATTTACAGCTTTGATGTGAACACTTCCATATTTGAACAACAGGAAAAATTATTCAAGTAACTATTTGTATTTCTAAAAATGTTCCTTCTGTCTAAGCTTTGTTGCCTGGAAGTTGAAACTTTCATGGTGTGAGCATGTGGTTTACATCTGAAAGTAGGATGTTATAGACATGACCTTGAAAGGTAAGAGTGAGGTGTGAATTTGATTACATCATCCATAATAAAAGCTGCCCAGATGTTGAAAATAACAATTGTCTCTACCTCTGGATACCTATAATGTCTCATAATTGGAGGGAATGTTCTGCTGGAGTAACTACAAGTAGAATAATGATATTTCAAAGCTAACTTTCATCCAACATAAATCACATCATCTCAGACTTTGAGACAGGGGAACTGTTTGTGTCAGAACATCTGAAAAAGTTTGCTTTCTTTTGTTTTCTGCTCTTTTTTCCACAAGATTATATTTTATAATCACTACTTTTCCTCCTTTTATGTTCTGTAATATTAATTTATACTTTGCTTGTATGCCTTTAAAGGAGTTGGTTGATCGAATGTTTAACAAAGGCTCTCCTTTTTCCACAGTGTTAACATCTATTTAGCATAAGTGACTGGTGAACAAAAACAGAGTTTTAAGATTTTTCAACTCACTGCTCAAAAAATGGATGGCTTCTCCTTACTCTCCAGTTAGTTCAAAACTCTGTATCCTTAGAGATGCCGAAACTCCAGCTGTTTGATATTGTGCTGCTGTAGGCAGGGGGCATAGGAGTATTCCAGATGAAAGACAGGACTGAAAAGCGACTGAATAGCGGTGTTTCGATAAGATCCTTGGTGGATAACTGGCTCCGTTAAATTTGCTCAGTCAATCTCCTATGCAAGTGAGCTTTCTCATACATCCTGCTATGGTGAAATTATTCACGCTCACAAACAATCTAAATTCTGAATGAGCAAATAAACAGGAGATGATCAGATGAACTGGTTGGGGTGAGGAGGAAATAAGGGACTGTCTCAGAAAGCAGAATCTCAACTTTAAATACTGGTCTTCATCTCTAATAATGCCACCCAAATAATCACTGAGGCACATGTATTCAATTTGTGGAAGCTCAAATCAGAACTGTAACATTTAGGTTTACAACTGATCTTCATAAAGCCACACCTCCATCATTTTCTCAGCATTGATTAATTGGTTTCATTGCTTAGATCTTGACTTTTATAGGCATTTTTCTCACTGTTTATTTTTTAGGTATGCAAAACCAAAACTCAAGTTTAGATTAGGAAAGAGAGTGATAACTGTGGGAGATTAAGTCAGTGTCAGAGAATATTCTTCTTTGCTTAGAGCCAAACATTGCATGGTTGACTTATTTGAGAATCCAGAACATGTTGATTAAGGAGATGTTTAATTATTTCATCTTAAAGACAAGCACATCTGAAAGAGGCAGCCTGCATTAGAAGGCATTGCCACTGCTTTTAGGAGGCAGGGATCACATTCAGAATGAAGTGAATAGGAAGCCCTCAGCTTAAAGACTTTACAAGCTGTTTTCACTTTTGTTTACTTTTGTTATAAGGCTATTTGTTAGTTTGATAATCCATAGGAAATGAGATAGTTTCTTTCTGGAATTAAACAAACAAATAAAACCTTGTTTGGTCAGTGAAGAGATTAGAAAAGTGTTTTAGAGCAGGGGTTCAGGCATTAGAGATCTTTTAACATAAAACCAAGAGAAAATTAAAGAAGAAAAAAGAGAAGATAAAGAGATAGGGAAGATGACTGATAACTGAACCTACATGAATTGAATTAAGTATTTAGTAAAAGTGTCTTGTTTGTTCTGTGTGCATTCCAAATTCTTCACCAGGATCACTAGAAAGGTGTGCTTTGGTGCAAAAATGAAGCCATATGGCAAATGTATTTATTTTATTTTCAAATTTATAGACCACTGAACAGCTCTCTAAAATCTTGTTTATTTCAAAAATTAATTTCATTGTGACTTTCAAATTCAAAACTGGCCCCTCCAAAATGGAAAATAAGATATATAGATGTAGTACATGAAGTCTGAGTAAGTCTAAGTCTATCAGAATGAATACATACATACTACAGATGCAGTGCATTGATAGCAAGTGATGTGAAACACTTTCTCTTTAAATCATATCAGATCTCACAAGAATTTCTATTATTTATAAATGAGCCCAGCTTTGACTCTTCATCTTTACCTGTATAAACACATGACCTAATTTTTACTGTGATAAATGTGCTTGACAGAAACAAAACACATGGCATTGCCTTCCTTTAACTTTATATTGTGAAATTCGTCAGTACATAGCACTGCTGCTATGAAAATAATTTGAATATGCGTCTTGTTTATGGCTATTTTCTTCACCATCTATTTCATTACTGAACATATAAGATATAATGTTAAAATATGCACAAATTTTAAACTGAAATAGTGCCTGGTGAGGGATGGACAATGAGTTAATTTTTTAAATTACTGGGGGAAGGGATAAACTCACCTTACCCCTCCCATAAAACTTACAGATTTCACCAAGGAAATTCATAAATCTTATCCCCTAAGTACCCCCAATTATAGCCAAGCTTCTGGGAGTGGGGGCATGAAGAAAAGTGCAGGGGTTGAGCTTCAGGAGATTACTTGCTCCTGAATTCAGATGGGCTAAAAATACAACTTTCCCTTTAATATCAATGTGATTGTTATTAATAATCATTATTGCAAATATCTTAAGGTAGGGCAGCAACAACATAACCTAGCTGGAAGAAAGCAGGATTCCTCACACCAATATTTCATGGGAAACCCTGATAGGCATTGGCATGTAATCAACAGCCTCCACCTTTCCCTGAATTTCCAAAGTCTGTGCTGGCAATTCAGAAGTTCACTTTTTGCTAGGGCACATTTCATGTCCACAAAGCAGGAAGATATGTCTGCAAGAGCTGGGGCATGCTGGGAGGTTTCTATGACAACTAGCAATAATAGTGCATCCCAAACATTTTTCAGTCTGAGGCTGTGAATCCTTTTTCAGGGTGGATTATGTCCCAGAAAGCCTCCACCTGCTAAGGAAGCAGGAGTAGCATAGGAAGCAGCTCTGGGCACACTGCTGGTTCAGCTGGGGAAGTTATCATTGTGAGACAGGCTCTAGAGCTCAGCATCCTGAGAATAACCTTTATTTATTCATTACCTGTAAACTCCACCTTTCTTCCTTTTGCAAAGAACCCAATGTGGCTTACAAGGTTTTCCTCTTCTTTATTTTGTCTCATAACAACAACCCAGTGAGGTAGCTTTTAAAAAAGAGCTTTCCTAGAAAAGTATTTACCCTATGCTTGTCATTCCCGAATGATGGTTTTTACGGGTTCTTCAGATGCTGTTGTGACATCTGGTTTCACTTCTGTGTCTCACCAGCACTTTCAGTGAATTTTACAGAACAAGGGAAATGTTGCATTCGGTTGTGAAAGTGAAAGAAAGTATTTGTGTATTTGTGTAGCCTGCCATACCACAGTGCCACCTAGAAGTTAGGTAGTGGAAAATCAGGAAAAGAAATGCTGCTCTTGTTGTGCTCAGCTCTCAATTCTTGCAATGAAACCAGAAGCCGATACAGCAGATGAATAGCCATTTAATGGTCTCTTATAGAAGAGCTCAAAATTTCTAGGACTTTCATTGTCCTTTATAACGTTTTGACCACGAGTGCAAGCTTTACATATTTAGAGGTATTGAAGATGCAGAATCTTTTAATTTTGGTTGCAGCACATCTCAGCATATTTGTCTCAATCTACTCCAAAAAGGGATCATTTTATTGAAGTGACAGGAATGAAAAACTGTACAATGTTGAGAATTAGCTGGTTAGCAATAGGCATATTATGAATTCTGGAACGGCCTTAATCGAGTGATATATAATAAAGAAGCCTAAGTACTGTAAAGAATACTGTAAAGCACAAAACAAAATGAATACTATTTGCATTCATGCACAGGCTTCAGAGGGTATGGAACTTAGCTCAATGGCCTGTTTGGTGCCTCAGCCAAGAGCTGCTGTTCATGGAGTGCCAGGATGCAGACATGCAACTAGGCCAAGTCATTTTGCAACCTGGGCAAAGAAAAAGATGGTGCTTCTTCCCCTTCCGTGTACAAAAGCCAACTGGGCTGACAGTTGGATTTTTATTCCATATTAATAAAGGGACAGCCTCCAGCACTGCATGTGAAGGCACCAAGGTAGTTTAGGAAGCACAGGGCTGGTGGTGGACCACACAGCCCTCTCTTCTAACACCTTGCTGCCACCTCGCAGCATCTGCTGTCTTAGGCTTTGACCTCACCACCTAGTGCTAGTGCCAACCTTGGTCTGAAATCAAATGGACTGGACTATGATTCTGGGATGAAGGAAGCTGAAAAAGGCAGGACACCAAGTTATCATGGCAAAAAAGGGAAGGTCTGTGGCTTGTGTTAACTAAATTCACCACAATCCCACACTTAACTTCTTCTCTCCCCTTTTAGGAAATGGATGTTTACTGGTATGATAATGGAATCTGCTCCTGATCTTCTCTGCTTCAAGGAACTTCTCTAGAGGACTAGATTGACCCCAACAGGCATGGGGTTGGAAACAAAGAGGACCATAAGGAAGGTGCCTGGCTTTGATCTTTCCTGCTGGTTAATTGGAGTGAGGCTGCACTAAAGTGGCCATCCAAACTCAGTGGAAACAGGGAAAGTGGGTTGGAGGCTACAGTATGCAGGGAAAGGATCTCCAGAAGATAGGAGCACTGAAAGATCCTGTTGAATCATTACTGAGGATGGGGCTGGGGAGCAGAGAAACTCTTGCAACTACCAAGAAAGCAGAGCCTTGGTAAAAGTCAACACATTGCTGCTTCAGCAAAAGTAAGACTAGGGCAGCCAGAACCAGATGTTCTGTGGAGAAGGACTTACAAAGCTCATGGCAGAACCATGGATTTTGGTTAGATGAGATTTCAGCAAGGAATGAGAGTCAGCAGGTACAGCAACACACTGGGCTTGCAATGCACAAAGGGGAGTTCTAAAGCTTTGGAAGGCTGGGAACCGATGGAATTTGCCACACAGAAGCAGCTTGTGGTACCAGGATCTTAGGATGACCAGGAGTGATGGACATTAAAATTCTAGGTTTTTATACCACTTGAACAAATAAACAATCAAACAAACAAATCCCCCCCCATCTAACATGTTTCTTTTACTCATTTTATAGATTATTTTGTAATTTATATTTTAGTTGTTATACCAAAAGATTTTGTTTTTGTTTCAAGATATGTGGCTTTTAAAATCTTTCCTGCCATTTCCCCCTCCTCACCCCTTTTGCTCACATCCTGAGAGTGAATCACAGCTGGATTAATTCAGCATGAAGCATTTTGTATGTGAGTGAGAACAGACTTATTAAAGTGCACCGCTTTGATAAAAGGCAGCCTTGATGTTTTCTGTCAGGGATCCCACAGAAATCATATGGGGAAAAAAACCCTCTCAGTACTCCATGTATAACACTTACAGCTGTAGCAGTTACCTCAAACAGTATATATTTTCAAAATAACAAAACTCTCCGTGGAATTTTTAAGTCATCTCGGCCAACCTCAAAGAAGGAGAGAATCTTATTTGCAAAAACATCTGCCTTTTTCTTTCCCTCTATCCAAAAACATTCCAGAGACTGCATGGTGACTTGCAGAATCAGTAGGTCAATCCATATTACATCACTTCTGGCCTGGCCACATTACCACAGCAGAACTACACCAAATAGTCTTTTCAGTATCTGGTGGCTAGGAAAGCATTTGTACAAGTGTGTTAATAGGTTTACTAAACCCTTGGAATATGAGATGAACAGGAGTTGTTAGCTTCCTTAATTTGTCTTCAAGTTTTGCAACTGCTGTAGATATCAGAAACCTCTTTTGTTTTTTCTGATCTTTTTCTTATTCATTATATCAAATACACCACATTATAATATCATAGAAGGCTAATTCAACAACTCCACTGATGGGAGATGTTGCCACAGTTCACAATGCATGCCAAGTATGTGTACCTGCCATTTTTAATATTGAACAAACCATTGTTTGACCTCAAATAATCCATGGTGCCTGGGTTCCCATACTGCAGCACTTGATTACTCCAATTAGGGGCTGCATTTTCAAAATGGCAGCTACATAGCCCACGATGGCCCAGTGTATTATTTATTTATTATTTGTCTATTACATTTTTATACTGCCTCATAGTTCAGGCTCTCTGGGTGGTGTACAATTAAAATTAATTCATACAATAAACATTATACTAAAGGAGAATAAAACTATAAACAACAACAACAAGACAACAACATTGCAGCTATAATAACTTAATTTCTTAGATTAGGTCAAGCTTGACACAAAAGCATTGCAACAAAAGCCACAGGGTTGAAGAATCATAATCAGAGTATATTCTTTCACTTACCACAATAGCTTAATTTAATATAAGGCTGAAAACCTATACAAACTTGTCCATCGGTTGTTTATTTAAATGTTCTGTTTTCAGTCACTTTATCTCAAATTGACTCCTGTACTCTACAATATTTAAAATGGCTACTCAAAGTAAGCCCACTGAATGGGCTTGCTCCCACATAAGAGGAATAAGATCTTTTTGCCTGCTCTGGCTTGCAATTGGTCCCCTGGACCTTTCCCATCACCTTCCACCTGGTCTTTTTCACTGGAATGGACTGGCATTGACTCTGTGGCCTTGTGCATGGCCAGTACAGATGTTTCCTTTGAACCAAGGGCCCTTGTTCCTTAAAGCTGGAATTTATTCACCTCTCATGTTTTTATTTTAGCTTTTAACTGTTTTATATCATGCATAGGTATGGGAGAAGCAGAGAAGTTCAAACTTGTAAAGATTCTCCATACTCCACTTCAAAGCTCACTTGGCCTTGCTTTCATTTTTATTTGTGAACTGTATTTAAACGTTTCAAAAAAATTGAAAGCTCAAAAGTTGTACACTTCCCTACTATTGAATAAAGGATGAAAATACTGTGTGTGCGTGCGCGTGTGTGAAGTTAAACGGCAGCATTCAAGACAAGTGTGAGTTGCAAACAGAAACAAAATTCTCATACATGCCTAATCAAATCTGATAGGCTGCTTGTAACCATGTCTCTTGTTGGAACCACATATTATGTTGCACATGCACTGGCCATCAAAACCAGCATCTCCATCTCGAGTTCTCCCTCTCCCTTCCATAACAGGTAGAAACACCCTCTGATATGATACCATCCCATTTGTGCTTCTACACCTTTGCCAAAGGCAGTCACCAGTATGTCAGTGATACAGAGCACAACCAGCACATAGCTTTGGCTAGTTCTCTGACAGCCTTCCCTGCTCTAGAACTATGGTGGTATAATTTGCTATCTTTGTTTCCCAACTGCTGTAGATATCAGAACTCAAATTGCACTCTACAGTGACCCACAATTCAACCACAGTTGTATTATTGGGGTGGAAAAACTGACTCCGGCTGAACAAAATGCACTGGGTCAGGGATGGCATGCTTAGTTAATGGAACTGTGGTCCACGAACCACTTCAAGTGCTCTGCATGCACTTAGAAAAGCTTAGTCCATTCAGGTCAACTGCATGGGGTTAAGTCCAAGAGTGCTGACTCTACCGAGAAACTTGTGCTCGGACAGTTGTTGTTGATGATGATGATGATAAGATCCAAGACACCAGTCAGCTGCTGCTTGCTAACTTTCCGTCAGCCAAATGGCCTAATTCCCAGCTAAAGTTAAGTATGGAAGATACAGGATTAAGGAAGGATCTAAAGAAAACAGCAGGAACACAATAAGAGGAAGGCCATATGCTAAGACGTGTGGTTGTGGCTGCAGTCCAATGCATGCTTTCCTGAGAAGAAGCCACACTGAACTTAGTGTGTATGGAATTGCTCTTTTAAAATTATAACAGTAAACCTTGAAGTAGGGGACAAAGCATTTTTCTCAGGCAAGGGGGGCAACTTGTAGGCCTCCCTCCAGATATTTTGGCTTATAGCTCCCATCAGCCCATGCTAGTATAGTCAGTGGTGAAGGATAATAGGCTAAAATATTTGGAGATCTAGAAGCTGACCATTCCTGTTCTGAAGTATATATTTTGCAGATATGCAAGGATCCCTGCCTGCTGAAATGAGTAATTCTGACCACTGTTTTATGCCATATATACATCAGATAATGCTGGGAACAATAGATGGCAAAAGAAGGGGGCGGCAGAGGATGAGGTGGCTGATGGAGTCACTGAAGCAGTTGGTGTGAGCTTGAGTGGACTCCAGGGGATGGTGGAGGACAGGAAGGCCTGGAGGAATGCTGTCCATGGGGTCACGATGGGTCGGACACAACTTCATGACTAACAACACAACATACATCAGACAGACCTGTACATGATCAGTTAAAAGCAAGTTGTGCTGTTTGTCTTTTTAAACAAAGTGGGTTGGTTCCAGATTTAGTCATGTAAATAGTAGATTTATTGAATCAACAATGCACAAGATAGTTATGACTAATTTATGTCCCACTGATTTCGATGGATCTACTCTGACTAAATCTAGATCCAGCTCCTTGCAGGTCTAATTTAAACAAATGGATATATATTCCTGTAAGACCGAGCTATTGCAAAGCAAGGGAATGTTCCATCCACTGCCACTTGCCTGTGCATCTCAGCAACTGGACTATTGTGGCAATATGGAGTGGGAAACACATGGCAAACATCAGTCCTTTCTGGGAAGGAAAAAGCTCAGACTGTAGGACGAAGCTTTTAATGCTTAAGAAGCTGAACATCCATGGCCTCACTGGCTGTTGGATGAGTCACTGCATCATGTCACTAGTGTTCTGTTGACATGATTCAGACTTAGATAAATTGTCTGCACCCACACTGATGATTAAAAAGGAAAAAGAAAAGAAAACTTCTTCTCAATTTGGGCTGCCCCTCTACAGCAGAGGTGAGGAATTTTTTTCAGCCTGAAGGCCAAAGCCACATTTGGAGAAGTTCTTGGGGGGGGGGGGCACATTCCAGTAGTGGGTGGAGCCAAAGACTAAAAGGCTGGAACCAAAAATACAAATATGGCCAACTTATTTTACCTTAAAGCTCTTAATTCCAGTAACAAAGCCGTGGGTGGGGGGGAGGGGAAGGGGGGAAACTACGTGAAAACTAGGAAACTACCAAGTGGTTGATGGTCCAGCAAAAGGAAAGTCATTACCTTGGGAACTCTGAAGGGCATTATTTGACCCCTTGGTTTTCCCTTCCCTGCTCTATAGGAGAGGCAGAAATGCCTATTCTGGATGATTTTAGGGGAAAAGGCCAACTATTTCATGCAGTTAGGAACTACTTTGGAATTGTTGAGATAGGGTGGGCTATCATTCCGAATCAATAAAAAACAACCCTAACCACCATAGGATGAGCAAGCCCAGCAGGTCTATTTGTGTGCCTCCTCACTCCTAGACAGTGAAGAGAAAGTTGTTGATACTGCAACAGTCTAGTGGTTTTTAAAGGGACACAACATGTTTTGTTCAAAGTATATTAAAAGAAGCAATATGTTACTGCATACCACCCACTAGGTTCATCTCTAAAGCATCTTTCAAACCTCTATTTCAAAGCAACTAGAAGCATCAAATTTCTTCAAAACTTTAACAAATATTTCTCTCCTGGAGCTAATTCTAAGGAACTTCTGATATTATGCCTACATTTTCCTCTGCTTCATTTCATTTACTCTCTTTGCTCCAAGTTTCTAACCAACATGGACCACCCAAAACAAATGCTTGTCCCTCTTGATGTTGATTCCAGTTGTTCAACAACCTATGCTTACTTAGGCATTACATCTTCTTCAACGTTCAGGTTTAATTCCACTGCTGTGTACAGATTTGGATTGGCAGGAATATAATATCCAATGAAAAGAGAATATCAACCCTTCTCTTAGTGCTGTTTTATCAACGTGTCTCTTCTGCTGTGTCCTTGGCATCACTGCAAGCCAAAATGTAGCACAGAACAGTCAATGGAGCAAAGAAATTCTGTTGAAGGTTTGTAATAATTGCTACAGTTCTACACTGTAGAGTCACTGAGTCTTGAGCAATTGCAACATAAGGCTGCCAAACAGACCTTATTTTCAGAAATTTATCTCAATATGCTGTTTATTTCAGTTGCCTACCACTGCACAAAACCAGTCCAAACTTATTTGCACAAGATCCATGGAAATTGAACTGACTGTGAACTGCTGGCACCTCAAGTGGAGAGAGTAGATATAGACCTTCAGCTCGCACTCTGCTCTGCTGTACTTTTATGTATTTTCTCCATGCTGTTCACAGAGCAGTCTAAAGCAACGTGGAATTGCTAGTCATCCCTAGTGTCCTACCTCCATCTTCAGGTGCAGCAACAGAAGGAGCGAGTAGAGAGAATGCTATTACAGTCATGTCCTACTTGTGGGCTTCCCAGAGGCAGCAAGTAGGACACTATGAAAATCTGGAACTTGCTTGGAACCAGCATGGTTTTTCTTATGTTCTCCACCCCTTCAAGATCTCTCACATTTAATTTATACATACATCACTGATTGGAAATTTGAAAACGTAATTAATTGTTAATTTAAAAAAATGAGAAAAGAGAAGCATGTTGGGAATGTGAAGGTGCTACCTGATTTTGTACCTAGATAGTGGGCTTTGCCCAGATTTAAACTGAATTGCAGGGGGGGGGGGACCCACAGGTCCATTTTTTTTCAGTGCACATTTATTTGGAGAGCAGCATCTATCAGTGGATCATATCGAGCTGTTCCCACCATTCTTAAAATATTACCTTTGTACATGTATGGCATGTTTCAGACTACATGCACCTTTCCCTCAGGACTATTCCCCACCATAAGAAATTCACTTAGGGTGCAATCCTATGTATTCATGTTTAGAGAGAGGAAAGTCCTTCAACTGCCAGTCTTCCCAGCACGATATACTGCTTTCCTATAGCATACCACTGATTATATCAAAAAACAAATCTTTGAACCTTGCTGTAAGTCAAGGTGAAATCTATGCAATGGCTGCTTCTTCTGGCAGTTGCTTAAGGTTGTTTCAATGTCTTACCAGACCTACCTATTTACAGATCATGCAACTGAGAAAAGATACCTATCTTCCACTCTAGCAGGGTGCAGAAACTGATTACCTGCACCAGCTTCATATTGGAGAACAGAGACAAAAAGGGGGAAAGCTACTGGGTTCTCACTAGACTTGTACCACCAACACAGACAGACCCACACATACATTTCCTGTGCTGCTTGGAGGTGAAACTAATATTCACAGCCAAGTTGTGACTTGGCAAAGTCCACACATCTGGATGGCACACAGATTTGCTTCCTGAACAAACAGAATGAACTTGGATTAGACTTGCGCCACCCACCACCAGCATCTCCTACTGTGAACGTCTGGCCCCAGCTTAGGGTAAAAATCCTCACTGAGTAAGTGCTCTGGGTAACCTGCATGCCTGGTGTTGTCCTGGAGATATTTCTTTTGCTCCTGTGGCCACACTGCATTGGAACCACTTTAGGGACTCCATGATGGAATTTTTGGAGTGTGTGCCTAAAATTGGCTGTTTCAAAATTGCCCTCCACCTTAGTTGTCTGCGGCAGGCTTTCATCTTGCTTTATCATAATTATGCCATTCCTCCTTCTTTTCTTAAAGAACACATGAATTCCAAGGGATCTAAACAGAGCTTGTGGGCTGCACAAGAGTCTCTCTTGCACTGCATGATTCCATCCCTGTCTACTGACACTGACATCCCTGTGTGCGTCACTGGATGCTAGAATGGAGGGCTTTAAAATATGATAGAAATAAGCTACTATTTATCCAGTTTGGCATCTCCACTCACTCCTCTTTTCTCTCCCCACACCCCTAATCCAGGCTAATGCCTTCCAGATGAGGTGCTAGCAGCTGCTAATTGCATTTGGATCCATCCTGATTTGTGCTTCAGTCAGCAAGGCACCTCACTAATGGATCTGAGATTTGGCAATGGTCCTGGGACCAGTGTCAAAGA